ATTGTTCACCTAGTCGCTATGCATGATATAAACAAATATATGTGTTAGACATTTTAGTATTAACAAAATACAAACTTAGCATTGAAAGGCATTGTTTTCATCAACCCTCTTGAGTCAAAACCGTAACTAGAAATGAACAGAGTCTTAAAAGAGAGGCAAAAGATACCAAATAGACATTCAGACTCATACCTATACTGTGACAACAAATTGTGTCATTGTTCCTACATCTTTTTTTTATTAAAATAGTATTTACATTGTGTCAGAGATCAAACTTATTCGCTTAGTGAATGTTTACTTGTTTTTGTTTGTATGTCTTTTGAAGGCCGTACTTTGACCTATAATTGTTAACATTTCATACATTGTGACTTGGATGGAGAGTTGTCTCATCGGCACTATTACCACATCTTCTTATTTACCATAAGTCTGAATAAACTGACAAGACTTTGGCTAAAAAATAAGATAAACAGACAAAGAACAGTACAAAAAAAAACAACATAAAAAACGATTGACTGAGCAACACGAACCCCACCAAAAACTATGTATTTTCTCAGGTGCTCAGATCATCCTGCTCGATATGTGACAGCCCTTGTGTTGTTCGTGTAAGTACAAACCCGATGATAAATGAGTTAAAAATAAGATGCCTTCTGAAAACAACAGTTGTACCATTGATCGTTACACAACAGGATCTGGACGAGGTCATCAACACAACAGAGTAAACATAACATCTAAATTAAAGTGGATAGACAATGTATGTGTTAATGACCTTTTAATGTTATGAGATTTGATCACTGTTTGAGCCGTTTAATAAAATATGCATGCAAACCTTTTACAAATTTGTACTGTTTTACATATTTAAATTCATGGTTCATCTGTAAAAAGGAAATCATTGAACATCTGTCATACGACTGTCATACAAGTGAGAGTTTTAGCTAGCTATAAGACAAGGTTTAATCCACCATTTTCTACATCAGCAAATGCCTGCGCCAAGTCAGGAATATGACAGTTGTTATCCATTCGTTTGATGTGTTTTGGCTTTTGATTTTGCCATTTGATTAGGGATTGTCCGTTTTGAATTTTCTCGGAGTTCGGTGTTTTTGTTATATTACTTGTTAATGAATATTAATGAATTCACAATACTTACAACCGGAGATTTAAAACAATACGGAAATTTTGAACGGTATATGCCGACAATGTAGCAGGTGCGTTCTGTATTTGCTATCTTCATGTCGACAGTTGAAAGAAATGGTGTTCCCGTTGTTGCTACAGCTACATAATTGTAGATAAGATTGGCCATTGTTGATGAGAAAGGCAAGTAAAAAAAACAGACGGTCGATTTTTCTCCCCTGTCCGACAAAAATGATGAATGCAACAGCTTTCAATCAAATTTTACTCGAATGTAAAACAAAATTATATAGAAGGAAATAGAATATGAAAAAAACATAAAATTATTTATAAAAACAATTCAGGACATAGTAACTGGATAAAATCGATCTAAACCAAGGGCGGAAAAGGTATAAGTAGACGAAAAAAAACCTAAAAAAAAACAGCAACGGTAGGTTGTTGTTTTCCCGACGGAAAGGGTTCAAATACGCAATTGACCGACTGATAATTGCATGTACAAGAAGTCGGGGAATAATGTTGGAGATGTTTTTGGAATTCAACATCTTGCTGAAAGATTATTTGACTAAAGATGTAATAGAATCAACTACTGTGACTATTTCCACTTTAGAAAGTGATTTCAATTCATTCAATCAAATGCAAGGTAAGCAGGCCAAGTCGAACACCCTCATTCGATTACGAGATAAAGTTTGATGGCATCAAGCATATATTTTGAAGCTCACACACTCTGATAATCTCTCTTGTCTTGGCTAATCGTGAAAGATGAATTGCTGCATATTCGATTATAATGTGTGAACCTCCAAAAAAAATTGCATTTTATTTTTTCATTTGACGAAGATCTTTTTCGTGTATCCCATTGCAAAATTTCAAGTAACTTCTGAGTATATTTACATTTATAATCATTTTTGGCAGCATATTCTTGGTGATATGCGTTAGTAACTGCTAGTAGTCCTTTGTTAATTTATGTATCAGTGTCATTTTGTTTAGTTTCTTTTGTTACCTATTCTGACATCGGACTCGAACTTCTTTTAAACTGAGTTTTACTGTGCGTATTGCTGTGTGTTTGTTTTTTCTACATTGGCCAGAGGTATAGGGGGGGTTGAGATCTCAAAAAACATGTTTAACCCCGCCGCATTTTTGCGCCTGTCCCAAGTCATGAGCCTCTGACCTTTGGTAGTCTTGTGTGATTTTTAATTTTAGTTTCTTTTATATATTTCGGAATTTAGTATGACGTCCATTATCACCGAACTATTACATATTTTTGTTTAGGGGCCAGCTGAAGCACGCCTCCGGGTGCGGAATTTTCTCACTGTATTTAAGACCCATTGGTGGTCTTCGGCTGTTTTTCTGCTCGTTGGTTGGGTTGTTGTCTCTTTGACACATTCACAATTTCCATTCTCAATTTTATCAATCACGATTTTTTTTTAAAAGGGGAATTGCTATGTATAAGTTTCAGTACTCTCTGTTTTCAAGTTCCGTCTGATCTACTGCATAAGTGTAATGATGAACGATATGATCCAAAACATCGTTTTTCGTAAAATGACAGAGAATGAAAGTCGTTGCGTTAAGTTCATACATAGAGAACAAGTTGGTACAACGTATTGCCGATAACACAGCTGCCAATCATTGATGTGTTCATCATATCCCGAAACGATAACTGGATCGATAATCGGTTCATTTCTCCCATTCACCTAAAAGAGTGAACATGGAGACTTACTTTTTTTTTCTAAATATTCATGAGGATTTTAAATACCTTGAATTCATCATTATTCGTGGAATAACAATTTTCGTTTATTTCGGGGATGAATTTTTCTGTTAAATGAAGTTCAAATTGTCTTAAGTCTTGTTTGCAGGTTTTTTGCAAAACAACGAAACAAATATCCACGAAAATAAAGGAACTTGCAGTATTCGCTGGACGAAGACCTATAATTGATAAACACAATAAACACTAACTATAACATTATCGATTGCAAACAATATTTATAGACAAGCTGCTTCTGTTTCCTTCCTTTCTAGATTTTCATATTCAAAGTCATAAGTAATAAGTCATAAGATTGCATATTATTTCTGATTTTTAACGTTATAAAACTGAACATTAAAGAAAACTATCACAAAAGTCGTTTTCAAATTTACATAATATATAATACTCCTCACACGATTCAGTTGGTACAACGTATATCGAAACTTAAATATTACTTACTACATTTAATAGATGACAATTACTTTCAATTGGGTCTTTATACACTAAATTCTATTTATTTATTTTCAAATGTAAACAATCGTATTACATTCAACAATTTAATGATTTCGATGGTTAGATAAACTTGCTCTATTCAATACTTTTTGTGATAGATAAAAAGGTGGGTTTTTTTTCTACAAATTTTTGCTAATAATATGCATTAGGAAGTTTGTCATATATTCATCAAATATATAAATATTCTTACTTATTCTGACCTGATTAAAGGACTTTGACTACTATGCAATACGACATGCGTTGCATGCAATGTAATTGTATAAACATTACCATTGTTGCTAATTATATCGCTTTGTCTACAGTTTATTTTTATGTATCAGCGGATCATCATAATTAATTTGTAGAACAAAGTGAGAGTTATGTATCCACATGAATTGTTGTGGTCGGATGTGAAATATAACCTTCTTTATCTTCCTATATCTATTAAGCTGTCTTATAGCATTTAATTTGCGAAGAAACTAAATACACAACGGCAAGCTGAAAGAAAAACCGACTCAAAACAACCACTTGATTTCATATTCACGGTTTCAGGTTGGCACAGGAAGAATGTTACGGGTTTATTCATGTTTATGAACACTTAATGAAATTCGATTGCTCTTCTTTGCATTAGGCAGCGTTTGCTATATCCCTCAACCTGTGTGAATAAACTGTACGTCAATCATTTGACAACAAATCAAATAAATTTGTTAAATTACAAACAACGAAAAGCCTTAGATGCCCTTTAAAACAAACATTTGGAAACGAATAATTAGAGAAAAACGTTGTATTGAAGTCTCTTGAGCATACAGACACCAACGTATCGTAATTAATTGCTTTCTTTTATTGGAAAACACCTATAATAATTACTGGTATGACATTGTTTTCAAAATAAAGTTCGTTAGTCAATAGAATGGAGGACACCTTTCCTGGTTTCCTTAAAGTATGCATACAACTATTTCGTTGTGACTGAGTATTTTATATCAAAATCTACTTTTCTCTATTCTTTTTCTATTGAGAATTTGATTTGCTTTTGCATAGCTTTAAGTGTCTTCAGTTTATCTAAGTACTGTGGATTCATTTATTTTCGTGGATACCAATATTCGTGGATTAAGGAAAACGTGCATGTTCGTGGATATTTAATTTCGTGGTTTTAACGAAGTCTGCATACAAGCCTATAGGAAATTTGTTATTCGTTGAACATTTATTTTCGTGGTTCACTTGTACCCACGAAATCCACGAAAATTAGTATCCAACGAATAATAATGAATCCACAGTATCACTTATTGAACGATTAAGAGATGGTTATACGGATTTGGACTTGTGTATAACTTGAATGCGGAATACTTCCTCTTACAAATAATACCTCTTTTTTACGAATATATATCAAAATTAATGCATGAATTGCAAAATGTAAATCATATTACCTAACCGTCTAATAGCAAACTTGAATATCGTATTACCTTAAGCGAAGTGACTTAACATAAAAGAATTAGTTTTCAACCATTCGATGAAAAGAATGTTCTGAATAATTTTCTTTTGAAAATAATTTCATATGTATTTATATAATACAAACGGTTTTGAAGATGATTTAAAACAAAAAAACAAACTAATATCTACTTATAATTTTTGTTAGTTCGGAGTACTTCCTTATTCTTATAGAAATCAGCTTGTAAAATGTCTAAACAATATTTTCTCAATACGGTGAGTAATTTAGATCAAATAATAATTAATTGGATCGTCCAACAGGATTCTTAAAGTACTGATTGTATACTTGAGTTTTATTACATATTTGTGTATTTTTGTAGATTTTACTGGTCTGTTTACTGTGTATTACTTGTGAATCATCAGTGAGAGATAGTTCGTGCACTTTTGATAATGTTGACAGTTGTACAAAGTATGGTAATGCAAAGTGTAACACAAACAATTGTCGGTGTATGGAGGATTACTATGATGATGGATCAACCTGTCAAAAAAGTAAGTTTTGTATATGAATTGTGCATGAAACATTTTTCTCTTTCTGTAAATGAACATTATTAACCTACATGATATCTTGTGTTTAACTGTATACTCGATAACTTTCTATATTATAATGTTATATTGGAGTTAAGTCCTTTTTGACAGTCCAATATTTGTACACTCATATCTCCATTCGTTTAATTTGTTTGAGCTTTTAATTTTGCCATTTAATTACGGACTAACCGTTTTGAATTTTCCTCTGAGTTTGGTATTTTAGTTTTTTTTTACTTTTTATCAATACATTAATTACCTTAGCTGTATTTGGCAAAACTTTTTGGAATTTTGGTCCTCAATTCCCTTCAAATTCGTACTTTATTTGTCTTTTTAAACTTGTTTTTTTGGATTCGAGCGTCACTGATGAGTCTTTTGTAAACGAAACGCGCGTCTGGCGTAAATACAAATTTTAATCCTTGTATCTATGATGAGTTTATTTCAAATCTTGTATTACTAGAAAGTAGTGAAGATTCGGCATGTGGTGTCGATGAAGAATGTCTTGGTCCAATGACGTGCATTAGTGAAACTTGCCAGTGTAGTAAAAATAGTTACTGGACAGGATCGGCGTGTGCTACAAGTAAGTTTAACCATATTAAATTTGTATCCTATAACTGCTTCTTATCACAAAAGAGAGTTGGTTCCAACTGAATTAATGTTTGGGGAAATTGGAGGACAATGATCCATACACTTGAAATGAATAGCTTTAGTACATTGTTCAAATGAATATAACACATGATAAAAAAAATGATGCAATTTACTTTATTTGGATATGTAACTTGCCAATTATAGTTTGTTTCTACGAACGTTGTTATGATCCATACATATTCACTCAATTGTTTCTAATTATCCATAATGTAGCCATATTGTATCCAGGCTGCTGATAATAATATTTCCATACTCAGATTTTATGATATATTATAAACCAAAGACTTAGAATACATTACAACTTGTATGTCTAAAATATTTATATGTGTACGAGAACTGGCCAGCAATACAAATCTAAAAAAAGAAAAAACGATATTACAAAATTTTTATGTGTCTTTATTAAGGATTATATATATTATTATGCTGTTCCATAGTAATAAATTGGATTGACAAGTAACATGATTAAGCAAAAATCCAATCCAGTAATCAAACTAAAACCGTGGGAATCACATCAACTATTAAAGGAAAGCAACTCAACATCAGACACACTTAAATACAACGAAAGCAAACACCAACATACATAGAGAAGGACTGTAGATAACAGTACAATACAGTTCAAACAAACGCAGGAACACTCAACACAGAGACATACATAAATAAATAAAATAATAGTACATTACAACATGTAAATCACAGAATAACAGCGGACAGCTTACCAGACACCACAAACGTAATATAAACTGCGCGTCACATGAATGAGTCAACGTCACAAAAAATATTTTTTTGTGAATTTTGCGACTTTTATTTTGTAACAGACAATTTAAAAAAGAAATTAGATAGGTATTATAAACACGTACACGAATATTAAATGAGTATTGAGTTTGTAATGGTGTTATTTAAAGTATTTTCTAACCATGAGAAGATTGAATATGAAAATAAAATTGTGTTTGTTATATTGTCATCATTTGTATATTATAACCATGTTGGTTTTACTTCTTACTCCAAACTGTGTATTAAAAAAAATCCTGTGCATATAGTTCCTGTACAGTGTTTCTGTTATTCCGTTGTTTTCCTCTTATAATTGATGTGTTCGCTCGATTTTAGTTTGTAATCTGGATTTATTTTCTCTTGATCGATTCATGACTTTTGAACAGTGGTCTACTACCATTGTCTTTATATATAGATACCGAGACACGTCGTATATCAATGCGAGTTCACATTTGGCAAAACAGTCCATAATAGGGCACATTCGGTACTAAGCAGAAAATGTGTATTGCGCAAAATATAAAATTTCAACAAGTTAAAGTAATTTTATATATTTATTTTTGTAGTACTTTGTTCTTTTAGTATATATAGTTATGGCCTATAGAAAAGATGAATGTCTAGAATTTTCAACCATATGAGATTATTTTTTTAAGAATTAATCCGGAGTAAAATAAATTAGTCAGGTTGAAATTTTAGGATATGCACCTTTTAGAAAAGGCTGCATCTTTTTTTTTTATAATAACGAACGAATGTTAGAAAGGCCTTTTGCTAAACATTGAACATACATGTTAAAGAAGCTGTTGCACATGTCCTACTGTAATACACATTGTCAAAAAGTCAGATAGTTAGTTTGTGTCTTAAAATGCGTCATTTGTACAACCAATGGCGACTTTCTCTATCAAATATTGAAAATAACTGAAAACAGACATCTCTGTGGAAAGACCTTTTGCTTTGTTCTGATTATTATTTTTTTTCTAACGAATATTTTTTTTCTTGCGTAGCATTATTGTTTCACAAGATGTCGCTTAGAAATTTGGTATTTTATATCGAAAAAGAAAATAATATTTCTGTCGCCTTGTGTACCATAAATTCACAGTACAACACAATATCCTTTGCGAAACGGACATGATATTATTTTATCATTTTGCAGTCTGACGCTGGCTTCCCCATCATTTATCCCCTCAACAATTAGACTTTGGAATATATATCTGAGCATGTCAATTCGATATATAGACTCATTATCAAAATTCAAGGTAGAATTGAAAACCAAGACATTCAAAATGAGAATCAATCTCAACATTATTTGTATGGTCCTGGAAAATCTAATATAATCTTAACGCAATTTAGATGTTTGGCATCCTTCTTGAATTGTGACGTGTTTAAAGCTAACATTATATCTGATCCAACATGTAACTGTGGTTTCGATATTGAGAACATGCGCTATTTTTTCTTTGAATGTCCTTTCTATCTAAATAAAAGGTTATCCTGTTTAATCGTCTCAGCTGGCATCCCGAAGGCTTAAAGCTAAACAAAATTTTAAAGCTATTGGTCTTTGGAAAAGAAACTATTTCCAATGATCAAAATGTGTAAATTGTTAAACAAGTATTCAATTCTATAAAGAGAAAAAAAACGATTTCTCGAAGTAAAGTATTAACATAGGTAAAACGCACATTATTATCATCATTTTATTGTTACATAAAGTGTATTATAGATAAGACTTTATATAGGTATATTTTCCTTCTGTCTGATCCTTTTTGCTTTGAACAAATAAAATCTGTTTAAACTATATGTCTTTGGAATCAGCGTACAGTAAATATCATTTAACACCGAAAATGATATTTCAAACCAAGTATTAAAAATTTCATATCAGAATATATCGTTTTGGTTGGAAAGACCTTCAATCGTTCTCTAATAAAAAGGTTTTTAATTGTTTCTAGTATTTGTCTTTGTGAAGTTATAGCCTTTACTCTTTAGTCCTTTTTAGTTCTATTTTTGTTTTTGCGTGGCTCGGCACTTATACCTCGCCATTGTTTTATTGTGCTATGTTCTTTTATTGTACTCGTAACTTTCATTCCTGCTTATTATGTGCTTCGTCTATATTTATTTTGCCTTTCTTTGTTGTTATATTTGTTTGTATTTATAGTGAATAAGATTAAAATGCAATGTTGACTGATGTACTCCTAATTTCAACATTTTTATCTATTACATCTGTTTGTCTTGTTCACACATTGTTGTCAATGTAATGACATTTAATGCGACTGTCATACAAATGCGATGTCTAACTAGCTATACAACCGGATTTAATCCAACATTTTCTATATACAGAAATGCCTGTACCAAGTCAGGAATATGACAGTTGTTTTCCATTCGTTTGTTTGAGCTTTTGATTGGTGACATCATTTGGTGGGATATAGCTTGTTCAAAATTAAGAGTCACAAAGGGGTATTACCTGTGAATAAGCGGGAAATTTATCAAACATTATAATTATTTAGTGTTATTCCTTGCATTTATATGGTAATAATCAATTTGAAAGTAATTCTTATCGATCTTGTTTGAGTCTTCCTACATTCGTATGTGTGTTCGATCAGTTTATAGGGGTTATTTTAAGTCATAGGTTGTAAGACGTGTCATATCATAGAAATAACATGAATAAGTTGATATGGATGTTTTTTAACATTGTGATTGATAAAATTATGATGATTTGTAATCATAAATTACTATTTTACTGATTTCATTTGATTTAATTGAAAATGTGATCGATTAAAGCTGATAACGAATACTGATAATGATTACCCAATGCTTGTAGGTAGATTAAACAAGTACTTAATTTAACAACATTAAAACCGACAATTTCCGTAAAAATAGTGTGCCAAATACGACTTAGCCATGATATGGGGTAGAAACAGTGTTTCAAAAAATCATTATTTTCTTTTGATATAAATGTACTCAGAATAAGTACATCAATGATTGGTTTTATGTATTTACTACTTGGCTGGTGATATAATCGGGGACGCAGTAATATCTACTAAGTGGTTGTAAACACTCAAACAAAATATCAGTCTTATGATTTGGTACGCCAGACTCATGTCTCCTCTATATAATAGTTTTCAAAGGTACCAGGCTTATAATTTGATACGCCAGACGCGCGTTTCGTCTACATAAGACACATCAGTTACGCTCAGATAAAAATAGTTAGATTCATTAGTTAAACTCAAATCAAAACAGTTGGAAAAATAAAGAGCACAAAACACCGAAAATTCTTAATCATTGTGCTAATTTTGCTAATGGCTATTTGTGTATCAGGGGAAGAACACCTTAGTGTTTCAAACGATTTAACATTGTATAGACACAAAGTTTTCCCAAAAGTATCAAATATTGCTTGTACTGTACCACTGGGGACACACGTCAAACAGCAGTAGCACCGACCTTATTTTTGTACAAACTCGTTAAAGGTACTAGACATATAATTTGGTACGCCGGATTCGTGTTTGATATACATCAGTCAAGACAGCTAGATTGCCAAATCAAATATTATATTAAAAAATAGTAAGAACCGAAAATTCCAAAAAGGTTGATCAAAAACGGCACATTTCATATGTCACTGAGTAAAATAACCAAACCTTAACATACTTTATGTATATCCTACGCTGTTTGCATAGATGTTTTTTTTTTATTTTAATTTCCATGTTTCACCGGTTTGCGGTTATCGATACATACACAGTTTTGTTTTCAGATAAAAGGAGAAATGTTTTTAATTGTCATGATCCTAGGCCTGAACCAACTTGTGACTGTAGTATACGACAGTACTGCAGACATTCAAACTGTTACCATAGTAAGTTGCTTTTCTTTTTTATCAATTCAAAATCTGACTTTTCGATGCTTAAAACAATACTTATAAATATCTTTTGGTTTAAGTTCTTCCAATTTATGTATCACTACACGAAAAGGCAGATTTACAACAATTTGGGCAGTCATGAAAATGTTTGACAAATGTAACTACTTTTCTGCAAGATATATTTACGGACCTACTAATGTATATGTAAATGTATTATTCATTTGGCATAATCTAGGAGGTCCTCAAAGATATGCTAAAGATAATTATTTATTTCCATAGCTTTAGTTATTCTCCAAAGATATGTAAAGATATGCCAAAGATTTGCATGCACCAGCCAAGATAGGAGATACATGCAAAGTTTAAAATGTGCATAACTGTTTTACAGAGGTGTGGCCAGTTTTGAGAGATAGCGGTTTATAAAACATTTTAGACCAATGTAAATGCTGTCAAATGCTTGTGTTATATTTGCAAAAGTTTGTCGATATCGTTCATATATATATAAAGAAGTGTAATTTATCTACTAATACATTCTATTATCATAGTTATTTTGATAGATATTGATATTTGCAAAATATCTTTACAGACGTATGCAACGTTTTGGGAGACCGCTGTTTATAAAACATTTACAACCAATGTACATGCTGTCAGATGTTTGTGTTACATTCGCAAATGTTTGAAAAGAAAACTAGTTTAAAGGTCACTTATATTTGGAAGACATCGTGTGTCTTGTAATTTTATTTGTGCTATACATTCTTATTACAGTTAAATTTTAAGAGAAGCATACCAATGAGTTAGTACTCCTAATAGACGATATACCAGTTTACGGACTTTTTCAATAAAAACGAGGGTTCATAGCTCGATAAAAAATTACAGTAAAAAGCAAACTTGCAATTAGAAGCACTGCATTTATTATTCTATTTACAGAAAAAAGTATTGATTTAAACTGTAATGCTGATAAAGAATGTCTAAGTCCAATGACATGTAAACGTGGGACCTGTTAATGTGCAATGAATCAGTATTGGACAGGTTATACTTGTTCTGCAGGTAAATTTTAGTCCTATTATTTACAAATTTAAATGAAACGTACGTACATAATTGACAAATGATTTTTTTTACTATAACACTACAATTACGGGGGCTTTCAAATAAAGAAGATATATAAACCAGTAATAGTTTAATTTTGGCAGCTTCCGTTAACATATAGGCATAAATAAATATAAAGTATAATATACACACAAAATCTTCATATAACACAATCCAACAGATACACATACGAATAATCTAAATATAGCGGGCCCAAAAGAAATAACAAAATGCGCCAAACAACCCGTCAAAAAAGATTATCAAAAACAACAAAACAAATGTTTTAAATACCTAAAACAAATTATACACACACGCAAATAGAAGAATTGGAACCCAAGGAAAGAGACATTTCCTTGTAAGTCAAAGCTAAAATGAAAAGGAATAAGAAACTTCCGTTATACGACACACTCAGAGCATATGATGGACTCCTCTGTAAGTGCACTAACTTCAAGTAAGCTTATGAACCCAAAGGTTAGCACACTCATTTGTAAGATCAAAATCCTAAGGGATAAAATTACTCCCTTATAAGATTAACATCGATGACCTCCTAACGATGTACAAAGCATACAAACAAAAATTCAGATAATATATCATAAAACAAGAAGTAAACTATACACATTATATATGATTGATAACATGTTGAAAGCATCCGCGAAGCCCCATTAAGATGCAACCCTCCGTCCTTAAAGGCAAAACGAGACCTTATAGGACGCCCTTTTACAAGAAACCTTTTATAGGATTTATAAAATTAATGTTATATTTAGAACATACAGAAAGTAATTGCTTATTAATATTAGCACATTTAAATCCAGTTAAATCAAAATCTACAGGTCTTGGTAAAATATAGGATGTATAATATATATAGCTGGATATGCGGAGAAAAGATTTAAATTTGACAAATAACTCTCTAAAATCAGCAATGATACGATCAGCAGAAAAATCTCTCACATCGTTAGTTCCAACATGAATAAGACAATAAGAATAGTTACTCATGTTTATTTCACCTCGATCCAATTTCTTCTTAATAGTGGAAATACGAGCACCACTGTAAGCTTGAAGGTCCATGTTAGTTATACCAGATAAATGTTTACAGATTGAATCGGATAACACCAGCACATTTTTGTTGTTATTGTCTGAAAAAATATTATAAACGTTTGGCCATTGACTCTGCAACAGATATTTTCTCCTGCATAGTAAAGTTCAAATATCATGAATATAGCTTATATGCATCACCTGCCCAGTCACCGTGAAGCTGAAAATTTATACGTCTAACTCGAACAATTTCAAATCAAATAATAAAGGAACAACATTCCAGTGTGAGCAGACTTCACTCACTTACAAATTTATATATTATTCTTTTACCTTAAGGCTTTTAGTCAAATTAGCAGACGAATTTCAGCCAAGTAATTACTGGTTTTTAAATTATAAAAATTAAACCAATTCCTGATGATTTCTAGATTTCGTATTATTGATTGTGTTGATAAATTGATGGATGATTCATTTTCATATACCTGCATCTTTATTTCTTCAAAGACCAACAATCTAGTGTCGGTTATAATGCCACTTATTAACATAAAACGATGAAAGTCACCCACCAAGTTGTATAATTTCGTTGTTGCAGTCTGTTTACTTGTATTGTTTTGGCAGACAAAATTCTCAAACAAACATTCGTTAATCAATCACTATGATTAATTGTTTCTGTTATTTATTTAAAATTTTGTTATTTCTATCGCTGTTCAAATTCAACAGGGATAGTAACTACGATTTCGACAAAATTATGACCAAGTTTTAAGGCTGCTTAAATCAAAGATATGTAATAAACATTAATAATAAGATCGCTGAAGTGTTTTTATAAGCTACAGAAGTGTTGATAATTGACAATTCAAATCATGTTTCGTGCCTATTCATGTCATTAATTATTCATCGAAATTTCTTTCCGAACTTTGCCGACTCGGCGAGTGAGATGACCAAGATATAAATATATATGAACATGTGCCTTTTGTATTCGTACACATTTTATAATTACTTTAGATTACACGTACATATTTGACGTCATTTATCAAATTATGTAAACAAATAATATAACAAAAACCTGAATATTATTCCAACCCAAGATTCACCAAGAATAGCAATATAATACACTTGTTTTTACATTTGTATGACCAAACAATGCCGATAATGTATACACGTGTTTGTGAACTGAATCGGGGCCATCATGAAGGATACACTTGAAAAAAAATATTAGATTGTAGGAAGTTGATTTCTAATTTCTACTCGGCCCGTAAATTTATAAACACATATTTTGGACAATAATTAACACGTCTCGATTTTATTTTCATGTGATCTGGAATATTTTAGAAATGTAAACGTCGTAATGTCGGCTACTTCTGTATGATCCTGTATGACTTTGCCTGCGTGAGATGTGGTTTTTAATGGTTTTATTGACCGATTTCATCGCCTTTATTAATTTTCAATTTACAATAACTTGTCTGCACCTCTTTTTTGTTTCTTTTCTCGCAGACACTGTAAATTCACGTTCCATTTCCGCGATAACATTCCTCTGCTCGACAATGTGAGATTGCGCATTGGAAACTGCGTATTTAAGTTCAACATAGGTCATACATTTCATATGAATAAGGGTTGGCTTAATAAATGCAACAGTAAAATTGAGAATGGAAATGGGGAATGTGTCAGAGAGACAACAACCCGACCATAGAGCAGACAACAGCCGAAGTCCATCAGTGGGTCTTCAATGCAGCAAGAAACTCCCGCTACCGGAGGAGTCCTTCAGCTGGCCCCTTAACAAATATGTATACTAGTTCAGTGGTATTGGACGTCATACTAAACTCCGAATTATACACAAGAAACCAAAATTGTAAATCGCTGTTCGAAAGTCATAAATCGATTGAGAAAAAACAAATCCGGGTTACAAACTAAAACTTAGGTAAACACATCATCTATAAGAGGAAAACAACGAAACAACAGAAACACTGAAGTGCAACAAAAAACAAAACGACAATGGAACACACATCGAACATCTAATTAATGTCTGGTAGACAAAAAAATCTTCAGGTATTAAACGTTAAAAAGCTTAAAAATGCTAAATGGAAAGTGACAAGTGATGGTATTAATCATAAACGTTTTGTACAAAACCCGGCATGAAGATTAAAAAAATAATTTTGATGAAATTCGTAACCACTATCCATAAAAGGGTTTGCATTGGTTGATATTGAAAAATGCAGACCTACAGAAATTAAAGCCTGTAGTACATAATGTCCATTGATTACAAACGATTTCTGACATTTGCGTTTAACAGAATTTATGATTGACAGTCAAATTTCAAACAGAAATATGTTACTTTGACGTTCCATCAAAACTATATCCAGGTCTGATATTATTTGCACGCTTTTGATACAATTATTTTCAAACAACAGCTACAACATTTTAATTAATATCTGCAAATCATAATTGTTTTGGCTGTTAGATTAAAAACAAAGTGCAAAATGGAGTCATTATCCGGTTTTCCAGTAATTTCAAAATAGCCAAAGTATCTATTACCTTTAATATTATGTCTGATAAATTTAGTCTTCGAGAACAAAATGCATCTATAGGCTAAAATAAATTGTTATTCGCTATGAATAAACGTTCAATAACGGCGAGTTCTCTTTGTTTTGCATTTGGTAAAAAGAAATTGTTATATTAGATTAATTGAGTCAGTTTTAGAGTATATACTATTTAATTAAAGAGAATTTATAATTTGATATTGATGTTTAGAAAAAAGTGTGAATGAAACATGCACTGCTAATAAAGAATGTGCTACTACACTGAATTGTTCAATTGGTCGTTGTCAATGTTCTAAAAATCAGTATTGGACAGGATCAGCTTGTGTGGCACGTGAGTTTATTTTTTATACATAGGTTATTACATTAAAATGCAGTGCATAAAATGTTTACTTATAAAGTTCTCCATTTATTTTATTAATTTTCCGAACAACACATACAAATAAACAAACACACATACAGGTCATTGTACATTGTTCACCCAACACTAGGTCAGCATGTATATATTCATATCAAAATTGCCTTCTATGTTAAAAATAGATAAAGTATCCGATGTTTTTTAAAGAAAAATTTTCAACACCATCTTTTGAAATGATGAAAACATGTTTTTGTTCCACTAAAACAAAAGTCAATAATTGCCAAGATCCCTCAATTGAAGTATACTCATAACTTTTTGTCATAGGATATAACGATTTTTGTCCTAAATCTTAACCCTTTTCGTTTCAATACTGATCAGAATAATAACAAAAAGTGACACACAATGATACATGTAATCGATTAATGTAAGGTACCTAACTCTATGTTTTGTCCACAGAAAAGAGTGTTTCTGTAAATTGTAATGCTAATTATGAATGTCTAAGACCAATGACCTGTGCAGGCGAAACATGTGAATGTTCTATAAATCAGCGATGGATGGGGTTGACATGTGATACACGTAAGTAGTATGTTCGTGTAGTAATTATGATAAAATTTGAAAATTCACATTTAATTCTAATAAAACCATTCTATAACAGTTATTACCATATGGTAGTTTAGAAAGAATAGATAATGGAAAGGTTAATGTGTCAGAGAGTCAACGACCCAGTGCACAAGACCACCAATGGGTCTTGAACGCAGCGAGTTAATCTCACAACGAGATGAGGGCTTCATATGGCTCCTAAACAATTATGTATACTAGTTCAGTAAGAAGAACGCCAGAGTAAACATATAAAAGAACAAAAATTTATACAACAAACAATAAGAAATTCCTGATTTGGGACAACATGCAGCGGGGTTAAACATTTTGTGTAATATTTCTACCCTCCCCTATAGATTAAGCCAATGTTAAACAAACAGACACACAGTAATAGGCATAGTAAAACATGATTTAACAATTTAAAAGAACTATCAGCAGTTACTGGCACAAAACCTCAATCAAACTTTTCGAAAGACTATATCTTCACCACGTGAGGTGTTTCACACATCCAATCGCAGGATAACATGAAAAGTTATCATTTTAGTTTTGTTTCAGACTAATAACTAAATGTACTTATGGTACACATCTTTCTTTATATTATATTTGTCATAAGTGTTCGGTGTTCCAACAAGCGTCACTCTTAGTGCGAAAAGCAGAAGTATTCGAATTGCATGGAGTAAGCCAGTTGAATCAAAAAGTACAATAATAGGATACCGTTTAAGAATCGTAGTAAAGAGAGAGTGTTTAGTAGAAGTACTCCTTGTTTGCAGTACTGGCTGTACCAATGTGGTAAGTATTTTGTTAGTAAAGACTCCTTTGTTAGCGAATCATATTAAGACAAAAGACACAATTACTTTCAACACATTTGATTCTGGAAGTTGTTTCTCCCCTCTCGGATTTTACAATCTTGATTGTCATTTCGAACTGATGGAACCAGTATCATATGAAATAAACCAATTACTACCTTATACAGATTATAAGGTGTGGCTTAATGCGATAAATGACGCTGGTGATGGTAACAGGAGTGAAACATTAGTAACAACTGATTCCGAAGGTATATATTTTTGTAAAAGTGACTGTAGTTATTTTTGTAAGAACTTCCCGAACCTTAATAGAATAAACTTAACAAATTAAGTTCGTCTAATATCATTCATGATTGGTTTGATTATTTCCAAATGTTTTATATGACGGAAATCATGTGTATTTTGTGTACAGTTCCCATGAACCCGTTGAATGTTGCTGCGTCCGTTGTTAGTTCAAGTGAAATAAAAGTAACATGGAAACTACAAGGACCAAAACCAGGGATGACTTCATATTATATCAAAGTTTATGAAATGGTTCTTAATGCTCAACCAGCATTTCTAAGGGGAGAAAACGTAATTGGTAGGTATGTTTTTGTTTCAATGTATGCTTGCTACTCAATTCAGGTCAGCGGTTCTGAAATGACCCTTATCGTGCTATATAAAATCACATATGTTAACGTCAAAATAATCGGGACCAAAACCGTTCAAATTTTACGTTTCCTGAGAGAGAAAAAGTTTAGTTGATACTTGGGGTAAAGTGTTACTCTTGTTCAGATTTTGACTCACAAAATGTCACGACTTACCTTACGCCTTAATCTTTTTAAGCTTTTCAATAAAATCAATTGTTGTGGAATAAATAATAAAGAATAAGGACATTGGAAAAAGTTCCGAACTGCAATACATTTTCAAAAAGGTGATATCCATAAAAACTTATAAACCCAATTGCTGAAAACGTGAACATAACTGTCATATTCCTGACATGGTACAAAGCCAGCTCAACCTTCAACTTTTACGACAGTTTTTTTTTATAGTTCCGTTATATTGACAAGGTTTGGTGAGCAACTTATACAGACATAATAGTTTAATGTGATAATAACTGAGACCCATCAGTCAAAACTGTGTACACATACGTCATAGACATACAACACAACTGACTAAATATTTACACCAAAAAAAGTAAAGTAAATAGTAATTACTCATCATAGATGTCAAAACCAAAATCATGTACGCCAGACGCGCGTTTTTGTCATAAGTAGTATACTGTATATAGTATACACTTTTTCGATAAAGTAAACAAAATGGAATCAACACGGTAAAGATAATTTTTGTCAATACCGCACCTCAGGACACACCTGCACAGAAATACTCAGAGTTGAAGAGTCAAAACCAGTAGCAGGGTGCATAAATTACGAGTCACGTCAACAATCATTAAATAAACAGAAACATAATTTCATTAAAACAAATAACGGGGAAACTAAAGAAAAAAAGAAGAAACACAACTTCAATGAAGGAAGCATTGATAGCGTGACATCATCATTTCATTAATGTAAATCATTGAAAAAAAAGGTGTCTATTTACACGCAATAGATAAAATTGACCCTGCGGTTTTCAACAATGAGCTTACTTTAATTCCGTTTATCGAAAAATCTTATTATTGTTCAATTTGCTAGCATTATTGAATTGCCATTTACCGTAGGTAAATGAATATACTCATAATGTGGAACATAAAGTTATCGTCTATAATACTTGAAAGTCTGACACTCGAAAATATCTAGATAAGAAGTATATAAATGTAAGATTAACACACAACAAATCCTAAATGTGTACCCAACTTTAATCGTTAAAATAATAATTTATTAAGAGACATACAACAGTTCCTGTTAAATAATTAGTTTTTTCCGGGTACGTTTAGTAAGTTGGAAACATTTTCAAAATATCCATTATTCATATTCTTTTACTGTTTATTATTGTCGTGCTATTCAGTTAAGTGTCAACACAACTTTGAACAAGTTTATTGGTAAGCAGATACAAGTTCTTTTAGTCTGCGGGTTTGAAAAGTGAGAAGGCTAGGGATAACAGAACGTGATTTTACGTTATAAACTTTGTTTTTTGTGTTATTTTAAGGTTTTGATAAGCAGATTGCGCAGTTTTCTGGACTAGAGGCATATTGGAATTATACGTTTACAGTAGTTGCTACGACAGATAAAGGCAGCAGTGAAGAGTCAGATACGTCAATTGTTGTAACAACATATCAAGATGGCAAATATACATACTATTCAAAATTCCTTCCAAATAATATATTTGACATCGACTATTAATAACAAAAGAAAATGTATTTTTATCTAGATATAATATTCTTAATTAATATTTTTACACAATACACTCATCAGTGTGCAAATAGCTTACATTAGACATATCTACACAATTAACAGTTGAAATAAATAAATATACTGATACGATGCACAATTCATCTTTTTTGTTGTTGGCTCGAAAGATATTTAAATTAATTTATAAGAGAGGAACCTCAATAGAACCTCCTTTATCTCTCCCGTTAAATTTTACTTGTATAAGTTTAATTATATAATAAATGTGTTTACATTCAGTTTTTCAGTTTGTTTATAATATTTCAGCATATAAATGATATATATTTGTGTTTTGACTATACATCATGTATGCTTTATTGTTTTATTTATCATTATTGTAAATGTGAATAACATTTTTGTATGAAGCTTAATGATGGACACACGTTTTGAAATTTATGATGGATTTTGTTATTTCCAAATGTTTTATGTCACGGAATTCATGTGTAATAATTATTTTTGACATATGATTCTTGGTTGTAAGCGGGAAGGCCGTCTGCGATTGTACTATTAATAGAAATAAATATGCTTTCACAGCTCCTGGCAAAGTAACGAATTTCGAAATAAAAAGACCATCAACGATATCAACAACAATGGAAGTTTCCTGGTTTATACCAGTATTACAAGACAGAAACGGTATCATTAAGGAGTATAAGATTAACCATAACATCAGTGGGGTATGTGTTTTATATTGATTTTATTATTTTTTACATTGCAATGTGCGATGATAACATTCCAAAGGATTTCATTTAAATGACATATTCATATCATTGCGTCTAGCGTATTATCTTTTAATAACTACATGCACGGTTAAGAACAAATGGTTGATAAAGCAGATTTAATTCATGCCAGGATTTGCATAGGGAAATGCAATAAGCTTTGCTAAAGTACACTGCAACCCTAAATTATGTTTTGAGTACAATTGAATGAGTATAAAATGAATTTTACCATAGATTATATCACCAAAGCATTATCTACGGTGTATATCGTATTTTCCACAGTAGAGAAGGTTAAGGCAATAACTCTCCATTTTTTTTACAAGTTATATAGTTTTAGACATTTTGACCTAATACATCACCGAAGAGTAATAAATTCATTGTCGAAATAGACATATGGTCCATTAAAACTGGTACCGTTAATGTTATAACCAGTTAGAATCCTAATAATCGATTAGACATACGATTGTTTGTGTCTTCATTCCCTTCTACTTACTTTTATAAAAAAGACAAATCAAGGTAACAAATAAAAATTGAGGGAATCGCATGATCTTCAAAATATGCCAAATATAATTAAAAATTTGAAACAAAATATAAACGTTTGATGAGCTGATAAAACAAAGAAGACACAAAGCATAGACAAAGTCTGGACAAGGAAGTAGAAATTTGGATGAATGAGATATATTAATTAATTTTTAAAGTATTCAAAATTTTTAAATCAGAAAATTTCAATCTAACAATATCAGCATTTTATGCCAGTACCGAAGTTAGTCAGGAATAAAACAGATGTTTTCAGTTCTTGTCGTTGATTGACGAAGTTTGATTTCTGGACCTATCCTTTCTGAGTTTACCTTGGAATTTTGTTTTTTTGCTAATACTTTTTATCTATTCAAATGAAACCTTTGAAGAATATTTGCAAATAATTAACGAACTGAAATTAGCATAATTTGTTATAAGCTTAGATTAAAATGTGTTATTTCTAAGATATAATAGCATCTGGACAAATCTGTGATATCAACTAATTAATTTTAATAAAAGGGGAGAAGCACTAGTAAGTGAATACAATTACACGCTTTTTAAAACGTTTTCCACAAGGCATGCAAATGTATCACTACGATCGATACTCTATTGAATTTACATTTTGCTAAATACACCTGTCCATTTATATGTAGACAACAACAACAGAAACAATAGCTGCAGAATATGAAAATTTCCAAAAGTTGTATTACATCACACCAGACAGACATTATCAGATTGAGGTGAGTTTTATGTAAAAATAGTCAGACGATACGATTTATGCAATTTAAAATTTAGTCAAAGAGTATGTGACATTTTTAACAAAAGCATAACAATAAAATAAAACTGGTTTTTAAAATCATCATTTCATGGTTAGCATGGCAAAGATTTTTTATCATATAACTTAAAGACGCAATTAATATATATTGTTCTATTGATGTGTGTTCAGGTGCCTAAAAAAATGCCATCTGCGAATAACGGTCAATTTTTTTTTTAAAGTTTAGATAGCGCATCGCTAATTGTCAATATCAGGGAGGACAAGAATTTGTCAAAATAAAAGAAGGGTTATCTGAGGTTCGAAAAGAAATAGAGGAGATGAGTGAGGCTAAATTATTTTTTCTGATGTCGAATTTATCTAAATTTTGAATTCATATTGAAATGCATACATGACTTTGCGACTAAATTAGTAGCAACATTTGAATAAGTAACTAGCGTTTGAAAGAACTAGATATTATGTTGCTGCTTTTTGGTTTGTTAAAAAACGTATTTGACATGTTAAATGTCTAGGTAACATATTCACAGATCACCACGTCGGGTCCACTACGGATTAAATATCACGGATGATCCCATAAATGCAGTTTCCGTAGTGTGATGCGGATCTGTACGAATGGACAACATTGTGACTACGTGCTTTGACGTAAATACGGAAATGACGCGGTTTATTACACAAAACACGTGCCAGGGTGTATGTATCGTGGATAAACAGCTGTTTGCTTCGGTATACGTATGGAGTCAAATCACAAAATTCAAAACGGATATACAGATGGCAAAATCAAAAGTTCAAACACATCAAACAATGGATAAAAGCTGTCATATTCCTGACTTGGTACAGGCATTTTCGTATGTAGAAAATGGTGGATGGAACCTGGTTTTATAGCTAGCTAAATCTCTCACTTGTATGACCGTCGCATCAAATTTCATTATATTGACAACGATGTGTGAACAAAACAAACACACATAAAAGGTAAACATGTCAAAATAGGGGGACAACCGTAAACATTGTGTTATGATTCTAATCACTGTATAAACAAACAATTTTGTAACAAGGAACACAAAAAGACATACTAGTATAGACAAAATACATTAGCAAAAATTAAAGACAAGAATACAAAAAAATAACCAGCCACAATAACACAATGATGGAATGTATAAATACCGAGCTACGTCAACTAGATATCACCTACAATAGAATAAACAGTAACAGTAATAATAAAAAAGGATAAAAAATGACAAATAAAAGAACACTACAACACGTTATTAAGATGATAAACAACGTCATTACTCAGAATCTATATACTTAAAAACCATCGTTTATTATTTGTGAAGTTCAAACGGAATATTTATCAACAAGGTCATTACTCAGAATCTATATACTTAAAGACCATAGTTTATTATTTGTGAAGTTCAAACGGAATATTTATCAACAAGGTCATTACTCAGAATCTATATACTTAAAGACCATCGTTTATTATTTGTGAAGTTCAAACGGAATATTTATCAACAAGGTCATTACTCAGAATCTATATACTTAAAGACCATCGTTTATTATTTGTGAAGTTCAAACGGAATATTTATCAACAAGGTCATTACTCAGAATCTATATACTTAAAGACCATCGTTTATTATTTGTGAAGTTCAAACGGAATATTTATCAACAAGGTCTTTGTAACTTCCGATGAATTTTTATTTAGAAAAAAGGACGAGACGTTCGTTGACGTACCCCTGATTCATCAACTTTCTGCTCGGACACTGGTGACGTTTTACAAAGTCTGAGTAGCATCTGCACGCTCTTGAATACAGAATAAGTTGGGAAATTTATATCCCATATTCAGTTGAAATTGGTATATTGCTACTTAAGTGGGGGAAATTGATAATTTCAAAATTAAAAACGTCTCGTTTGTCGAATGAGAACGATCGTAAACAGAATTGTACCGACCGGCATATTTTCGAAGTCTTTATTCATTTCTCATTAAGCTTGTGGTTTAATATTTCTTTATGGCAGTGAATCGATGATTTTTTGTTTTGTTTATCAAACTGTTTATCTGTCTTTCTGAACCAGCTGGTGTTCTTCATAATCCTCAGATCAACGATATGAAGCAGTTCTTGAAACATATAAGGGTCTATTCTTATAAATTCTAAAATGCAGCCAAATTTTCCGCACAAAGTTCAGCCATGAGGACCGCATACTGGCCATTGCTAGGTCTACTACTCCACCATCTCCGCTGCCTCCGGTCATCTCTACGTCTGTCATCAAGTAGTTCGACAACTGCTCTGGCATTTTGTTTTTTAGTCTTATATTGTTCACATACAATGTTTAAAAAGAAAGAAGTCATTTAAAGCTGTGTTTCCGCAGATTGCGGTATCTTGGTCAATTGTATATGTTATGATTGTCTGTTTGATAAGAAGTGAGCGTTATTATTAGAAATTGATGATGCAAAAGAATTCTTTAATAATATAATCAGAAGTTTACTTAGTTTTAAGTGATGAGCAGTTACCTTAAAAATCAAACGTTTTTGGTTTTCGCTCCTTTAGTTATCTTCCACTCAAATTTCTTGAAACATGTGCTTATCAAAAACACGCTTTAAATACTTAGAAATATGTTTGATAAGTGATATTGAGTTGACGTAAATTGCTCTGTACGATTATTTTACGACTGAGCAAACAGATAGTGCAGAGGTTGTGCATTCTTATACTAAACAAATAGTTGTGGATGCATTAACTTTTGGTTTGAAGGTTATTATCAACTCCACTATTAACTCAATAAAGTTTTGTCAACTTTTTGTTTATGTTTTCAGGATTTCCTTGTCAAAAGTACTACATATTTTCATTTTCAGAGAATCTGTTTCACAGAAGTTTATTTCTTATTTTTTTTTCTTCAGATATATGCAGTAAATGCAATCAACCAAGCTGGAGAAAAACTGAGAAAAATGTATTACGCGTCATCAGCAGTTGAATGTAAGACTTGTTTCATTTATATATACCATTGCGGTGATATTAACTTCTAAAAGCTTTGAAGACATAATAGTATATGCATGGAAAATAACTCTGGAATTGCTTAACAAGTGATGCACTACTGTTAAATCCTTGAAAATGCATTCATTTGAAACAAAACTGGATAAGTGGTGTAAATGCACTTAATCAGACTAGTAGGCAATCAGCGTTTTAACGATATATATGTCAAATAATATGAAAAAAAAACGTCATTAGGTTTGATTTTATTTTTTTTCAATATTAGTCAGGTACTTCGCGGAAGAATGCTGCTTTCCTAATAATCTGGCTGGTATTTCAATGAAATAGTATTTCTGTAAAAATTAATCTTTTTTTTTTTTGCATTTATCTTACTTTTGTTATTGAAGTGGCTCATAACGTTGCTGCCTTTTTTGATCATATATTGTTTTTTCTTTCATTATTTTATCAACCCTGTATCTTTTTCAATTTTGTCTTTGAAATGTATGAAGGTGTTCATACCTTATTTTCATCACTTCTTATATTGCTTGAAGCGCCATTTGGTCTTTTTTAACATGATCATTCAAGATTCGTATAAAGTCTACACATTGTTCATGGGTCGAGATATGATTGAAAATGGTCTCATCTATTAAGATTTGTATAATTCTATCCATATACATATATTTCAAGATAGCTTTACAACGTTTTTTAGATAAAAACTTGTTTATTTTTTAGCACAACCACAAGTGTCATCTAAAGGATATACAATTGAAACAGTAGTTGGAGCTGCTGTTGGTTGTGTTGTATTCAGTGGTGTTGTAGTTGGTCTTGTATATTGTTTAATCCGGAAGCGCAGCAAAAATACTATTTCTAAACAAGCAAGTAGGTTTTCGTCGTTGCTGTGGCATTATGATATTGTATACTAGTATATTAAGTATATAGTTAGATATGGTGTTATAGTCATAACAACCTTCTGTACGGAATGTGTATCGAATCATTTAGTATTTGTTCCATTAGTAGATGTGAATGTTTGTTTACATTTTGGTGTACATAAACATTAACAGTTCGTTAATCAAAACGCTTGAATAAGAAGATACCAATTGATATAAAAATAAAACCAAGATAGACAAAATGAGATTATTACATAGCCATTAAAGTGAAAAAAATCCTGAAATATTGACGGCTTTTGTTCCGTCCGATATAGTGTTTTATCGCAATTTCAGTTACAATATATTACATATTAAGTCTGACTTTCGTTTTTATCTCAGTGGAGGAGTCATAGTATAAAGCAGTGCCAATAAAATAACTAAACATGACATGTAGGTGATTGTTATATTAGTATAATATTGCATAGAAGTTATTCTTTTAAACTGAGTTGTTACTGTTGTTTTTGCAGAAGCAAAACATACCCGAAAAGAGTCAAAAATGTATGTATAATTCGTATTTCTACTTTCCATTGTGCTACATAATATAACAGGTTCTATAAATACAAAAATGACCTAACAAAATAATCGTTATAGATTTATCAGAGGCACAACTATTAACAGTTTTATTTGCGATAGTATTTGAGAAAGACGAAAAGATGTCAAAGGGAAACTCATGAATTGTGAGTTCGAAACAAATTGACAACTCCTTGGTAAACGACAATAAACAGTAGTTTATACACACTACAAAGAAACGAAAGATTGAACAATGCAATCTTCAATAAAAAGCAAAGAATTTCATGCCAACAACGTTTTTTTTCCGGATTGGTCTAGTGATTGCACAATGAGTAACTCTTTTAATTTCTAATCTTGTGTTTTTCATATCTTTAAAACATTCAACTGACGAACTTATTAGTTAGCGATACCAGACTTAATAATTTATACATTATACGCATTTTTGTGTACATAATTATGTGGTACATGAATTAGACCTTTGACATTGAATGATAAAATCAGTTACAATGTTGAAGCTTTTTGCAATTAAAGAATACTTCTACCAATTCTGGCACCACCAATGCCTAGAACTACAATTCTCAATATTTGTAATGACAATAATGAGTTAGTCGTAAATTGACCACTGCAATGTTATTAAGTCTAGTAAAAAACACGGATTTAAATTACAATATGATCCATCTACAAAGTGCATTGCTCAGGCAATATATTTCAAACATACTTATATTTTTGCAGTGGGGGCCAATACGAAGAAGTGGGACTGGACAATGTATCTGCTCAACAAGAACTTGGAATAATAGATAATCAAAATGTGTATGACCAGATTGATAGAATACCTACAGTAGATAAACAATATGAAAATATGATTATCTGATCTATGTTTCTATTTTATCAACGTATGGTTTACATTTATTGCGAAACATACAACATGTACAAATCAACATTACAACATAATTATGTCTTGAGTATGTGTACATTTCAAGCCATCAGCATGATCAGTGTAAAAGGAACTGAAAATTCTTCTTTATCACATATATTACAAGGGTTTGATTGCTCAATCATTGGTTTTCCGTAAAATATTTTGGTATATGTTTTATCTTTCCCTCTGTTTAGCTTATGTTCATCACTTTTTAATCTTGGGCTTTCTTTTCTGTCAGATTAATCACCAAAATATGATAAGTTTATAATACTAAATGTCAATGCCGACATCTATATATAATTTGCTAAAACTATTTTTGTTCGTAATATATACAAAATGTTTTTTTCTCTTTTTTTAAATTTTATTGCCAATTATACCACACCTTCTTTTTTAAAATAGTTGAACTAATGGTTAATGTAACACATGACTTATTATGAACTATTCGAATTACAATCATATATAAGTTCATATTCAGAAATAGGATTATGAAAAAAGCAACAATTGATGGTTGCTTTGACACATCAGATTTGTAATATATTCATTGATATCCGAGCTTGATCAACCATGAGGTCCTTTACCTCAGTTACGTAGGTCACAATCGGGAAAAGGGGACGGGATTGTAGTTCACCACTTGGAACTCTTGGATGTTTTTTTATGAACAGTAACCCACTATCAAGGAATTAAATCAGTGATCATAGTAATTACAAGCCCTGGAATATCGTATCAACTGGAGATGTTGACTTCGTATGCAGGCGCTGTTCGAATGTTGCTACATAGAGATGGAAAGTTTGCAATTGGGAAAATTAAATCATCTTTTGTGTCGTTAATGTTTTTTTACTCGACCGTCATTGTTAATTTCTATGAAGCAGACTTAACTGTATCTGTAGTATCCTCTTTCTAATGTTTGATGGGATAGATGCGTTCAAAATACTTAATTTGAATTATATAGCAAGAAAACATCATTTATATCAGGTAATAAATGTAAGAGGTTTCGTGAAGCACTTGAAAGACCAGAAGAACAAGCAATATACCGTTGTTTGTAGGGACACTTAAGTCTAGTTATTCAATTAAAACAGTGATGGAAGATGCATATATTCATCTTTGGTCGACATGTCTAAGTAACATAGAACAGACCTATGATTATCCAGAACTTCCTCTTCAGTATGTGTCTTGTGGGTTCATGTTCAGTTTCCAAGTGAATTTTCAATATCTTACTCATTTATCAAGCAGTATGTGTAATATTATTTATTGTTTGTTGGGGTTTATCTGCGGGGACATCCACATAATTGTCATGGAGGTAAAACAAATGTTTTGCAACATTTAGATCTTGTAAGATTGATGTACCATGGGTTTTTATATTATCTAATCGGACTTTGGTAAGATTGAATCTCATAGGTTATTAATGCCAACAAGAGCAAATATCTGATATTAGCTCATTACCAAAATGTAATTGTACTTTCTTCGAAGGTACTTATTTTTTGCGAATTGTGTATTTCGAACAAAATCCCGGTTAAATATTTCCACGATTTATTTTCCGAAAATTAATTTAAAAAATCGTTTATCAGTCATCGAATATCCGTTTCACAGATGATAGCTGATATGTTCGTAATGTCGTAACTGCAAACCGTTGCCATTCCTGAAAGTGACATATCGATCAGACTTGTTGCCGGGTTTGTACTAAAAGGATATACACGACGTGTGCCACATGTGGGGCAGGATCTGATTATATTTTCGGAGCACCTAAGATCATTCCAGTTTTTTGTGGGGATCGTGTTGCTTTTTCGTTAATTTAGTATGTTGTGTTTCGTGTACTATTCTTTGAGAATGAAAATAGGGGAATGTGTCAAAGAGACAACAACCCGACCAAAGAGTAATAACGATGGCACCTAATGAGTATTTCAGCACAGCGGTATATCCCGCACCCAGAGGCGGACTTTAGTTGGCCCTAAACAATAATGTGTACTAGCTCAGTGGAAATAGACGTACTACTAAACTGAAAAACATAAATATGAACTAAAATCAAAATAATACAAGACTTACAAAGGTTAAAGGCTCTTGTCTTGAGACAGGCGCAAAATTGCGGCGGGGGTAAACATGTTCTGTAAGTTTCAACAGAGATAACAGTAAAACTTTCAAAATATTGTCTGCTGCTGTACACATGTTGATAAATTAATCGATAAGAAAAGTCATATGGTTCAAAGGAATCTTGGGTCATTGTTTCTTTGATCTTTAATTGGTTTTTACGTGTTATATGTTGATAATCTAATTGTGTATTTAATGTCATCGATGTATGGTCAAGTTTACATGCTCACATATACAATACGTTTTCAGTTAAACGATTGGATTTTAATTCGCTGGTATTAATATTTACGATAATATGCCAATCGCGAAATTCGTGCATAAAGATACATCGTAAAAACAATTACAGTAATCTGGAACTTTTTTTTTCAAAAACTCAGCTATGTTTGTAGCCAGTTAAAATATCTGTTTTTCCCTTAACATATAATGTTAATTTCTTTCCTAAAAGGTTAATTTGCTGTCAAAATCATGCTAACCGATTTGACTGAATTTTGATATTCAATGTACAACTTGTTATAAATATCCGTGTATACAAAACAATCAAAGGAAACAATTAATTGTGATTGTAAAAAGTGCGTCGGCTCTTTCATGGCACCCATTTTAATACAATAGTTTAAAGTGGAGACAATTCTGACGAGGACGAAATCCAAATAATAGACATGTCTTCGATGACTAAACCATATTATTTATCAATCACTTAAAATGATTAATCGCGTGTAGAGTAAATGAGTATCCCGAGACTTGTTTCTCGATATGGCATCTGTGTAAAGATATGAACACCAATGAGATAGTTAAAAATGTATGTACACAGGTTGAAATAAAATTGAGAATGGAAATGGGGAATGTGTCAACGAGACAATAACCCTACCATAGAACAGACAACAGCAGAAGGTCACCAACAGGTCTTCAATGCAGCGAGAAATTCCCGCACCCGGAGGCGTCCTTCAGCTGGCCCCTAAACAAATATATATACTATAAAGTATATATATATTTATATTATCTGAACTATTTTCATGTCCTTTTAGAAAACAAATTACGTTCTATCTATTACAAAATAGTACTCAGAATGAAAGCATATATGTAGGACTCAAATCTATGGTGGGTTCCAAATCTATGGCAGATTCCTAATCTATGGCAAATGTGACGTAATGCCATCCCAAATCTATGGCAGATCTTTTACAACCCTAATCTATGGCAGGTTTTGTAATGAATTTCCTAATCTATGGCGGATTTTTGTTGTTTCCAAATCTATGGCAAATGTTGTGCAAATGGAAAACAATGCAGTACATATACGACCAATGACTTGTCTTAAACAAGTGGACTTCTCGTTTCTTGTTTGGATATAGATTAGACCTCTGATTTTCCCGTTTGAATGGTTTTACACTAGTAATTTTTGGGGCCGTTATAGCTTGATGTTCGCTGTGAGCCAAGGCTTCGTGTTGAAGGCCGTTCCTTGACCTATAATGGTTTACTTTTATAAATTTTGACTTGGATGGAGAGTTGTCTCATTGGCACTCATACCACATCTTCATATATCTATATACGACAACGGGATCATGTCTATAAACATTTGTGAAATAAACATTCCATAATGGTCACCCAAAACATTTTGAAAATGATGAATTCATAGAACTTAATACAGACTTGAAGATTAAAATGATGCGTCCTGTAAAAATAAACATTTTTTAATCTGTGCATGGTACCTGTTTAGTCCATTCATTAAACCAATTAGTAAGTCCCTTATCAAACAAGAAGGCGGGTTTTTATATAAAAATAAAGACAAATAAAAATGAACAGTTTGAATTTTCACATAATGTTATTTCATTGTTAATACTTTTTTTTTTATTTTATGACAATTTTGATGACAATTTTATAATTCAAATTAGTATCTGGTAATTTGATCTTTCACTTTATAAACTTTGCCAGCCGTAAAATATTTATTATAAATCCTTTTCTAAAATAGCCGATACCGAAAACAGCGGTGTCCTTATTCACCACATTTTATCCCTCTTTCGGATAAAAGGACACATCTTCCTTTAAACCATCCGCAAATTGTTGTCTAGGGAAATACCTTCATTTGGAAGAAATCTATGGATTCCGCAATCGTAATCGGCTACGACGATGTAATATGGCGTTATTCAATTGTGACGTTATGAAAAAGATCTGCCATAGACTTGGAGAAAACAAAAATCTGCCATAGATTTGATTTGTAACGTCACATTTGCCATAGATTATGAATCTGCCATAGATTTGGAACCCGCCATAGATTTGAGTCCTACATATATATATTTATATTATTTGTAATATTTTGTAATAGATAGAATGCGATTTGTTTTCTTAAAGGACATGAATATATTTATGGTCTCGATGATCCTACCACTACTGTGTGAATGTAGTCTGAGGAAGAGCTAATATATTCGTCTACAGATAAATACACACAAATACCTTTAAAATGAAATAAAAACAAGTAAATAGTGATATCGCTTAATTTCACATGCATGAGGGATATTCTTGACGGTATGTTACTCTAATTTGGAATTCATGAGTAATAAATATCAAATTAATCAAAACATATTGCGCATGTTGTTGTTGACAGACCTTCGGAAATTGTGATAGCCTTTAATTGATTATTATCTGAAACGTCATAATGCTCAATTCTAATTACATGTAATTAAAAGTAATGATTTCAATTACCTCTTTGCCTTTTAAAAATGTATGTATAATTGCTCTTCAATCATACTCGTTACATTGCTGTGAAATTTCAAAACAAATGTTTTTCAAAAGTTTCATTTAATGTTAATGGATACATGTTTAAATTGATAGATTTTTGGAAGAAACAAATCCTTTGATCATCAATACACCTCCTTTTTATCGTTATTTGTTTGTAGTTAGTTTCATATCAAGATGACTTTGACACTATGAAAGGTGAAAGAGAAAATATAACATTTTATGTATTACAAACACAAA